ATACAAATAATGGGTTTGTACACTTTTTACCCGAAAAGAAAGGAAATCTTATTAAATTCTCAGCCAAAATCAATTATTTTTACGATATTTTAATTTAAATTATTGATGTATAACTTTATTGAATTGCAAAATCAGATTATCAATTCCCACATACATTTTTGAGTTTCAATATAAATTTAATAATATTTTTTTTATTAAGCAAGAGAAATATTTTTTCTTTGTTTGATGAAAGCTTTTATGTAGAAAATTAACAAACTTGTTTCCTTAGACATAATGAATTGAGTCCGATTTTTTATCGCCACCGTATTTGCAAAATAAAAAAAGAAAATAAACTAAAAAGAAATCTAACACCAGTAAGCGTTATAAAATGGTTATATCTCGTAAGCCTTCTTAATTCATGAGTCTTAACTTGCAAAAATATGATAGCAATGAAAAGTTATCTTTTGGTAGATGTGAACATTTTACCTACAGAATGCAATTGAAATAAACAAATTACCTTTGATTAGAGGTACACAACTACCATGGATACATATGGAATTATCCGTACAGGGATGGTTTGTACAATTACCAGCCAAGGACTGAAGATAAAACAATTCGAAATGATGTTTCATATATTACATAATTAATTCTTTCGTATTAAAATGTAACAAAACTTCTCTCTTAACGTCCCCCACTCTTTCTTACCTTTGGGAATGTTTCTCGGTCGACATAAACAAAGAGGTCTTTAGTCATTAAGCTATTGGCATAAACACCAAAATTTGCTTTAAGTTGACACGTCGTTTCTTCTCCTAACCAATCCACTGAGCGACACAGTGTAAACGTATAACAAGCAATCATGCACATTGCAATGTCATCCCTCTTCAGAGGGTCTAAAGGAGGCACTGAAGAATTTTGATAATTCCTAATTATAACTGTTTTTGGGTCAGTCGGGTCGAAACATTTAGAGGGACATGCCTGTAACAGAAGCAGTACTTGACGAATGAGGTACATACTGATTATCTAGGACGAGCTGCTGGTTTCATTTTAAGAGAAACCTATTAGATAACTTTCTTAACTCTTCTTTTATGTATATATCCGTCGGTATGATATGTCAATGAATGATTTATGAAGTCCTATGTAATACGTAGTAGTTTCTTTCTTTATACATGCATTCTCTTCAGTGATAACTTTTTAAATCGATTATTAATTTTATATATAATTTGTATAAAATTGAAACTTTGATCTAAAAAAAACCCATAACGATAAATAATTTCATAATTTATATAAATTATGCTTTCATTGTGATATAAAAACATTTCTTACAGTTTTCACTGTAGTTTCACTGTACCAAAGTTTTTACTTTGGTACTATAGTTAACTACAGTAAACTACATAGTTAACTACAGTTAACCATATTATTTTTGTCAGGGTTATCTACAACAAGATGTTTCCGAGCATGCTTTACGTTTTTACCTCCAGACCTTGACCTTTATTTTTTTTTACCTTATTTAAATAAAAAGGCTTTGGTGATTATTTTTGAGTGACGTATTATAGGGCGTTCATATGTTAGAGAACATGCAATAAGTAATGGCATCCTATCTACGAAAACACTGAAAGTGGGGGAACACAATTCAGTGAATTTGCTTGTTCGCAAATTGTCTTTTTTATGTTTTACTATCTTCTGTTATATTGTTTATCGCATTACGTTAACAACTTTCCAATTACAAATACCAGGGACAAGACCAAAAAAAATGATTTGATAATTTTGATCCAAAATTTCTCTACTTGTCTCCATTTCCCTATATAAAAACAGAATTTGTATTGGTCGTGCGCCGCACAAACACACTATTTTCGTATTCAATTATTATAAATTTCTTTCTCATACTTTTTGAAAATAATAAAATGAACTTATTTACGATGAATTCATATACAAAGGGTGATCAAAAAGTTCGCGTACTATCTCTGTATTTACAAAACCAAGATTCGGATCAAAATGAAATTTGGCACACCTATAGTAATGCTCATGTTTTATAAATAGCATTTGTAAAGTAATTTTTTTCCATTTTTTTGACGTCACAATGTGAAAATGACGTCAAAATGTAGGTGACACGTGACAAAAAATGGTTGTCCCAGTCTTACTCGAGCAACGAGCGGCTGTAAAGTTTAACAAATAACTTGGAGATTCCTTTGAAGTATCTTATAATAATTTGTACGAGGTTTATGAAGACTATAGACTCTTTCAGACGTTCAATCATAAATTTGATTGATTGTTGTAGTGAAGGGAGTGAGATGGTTAAAAATGACATTTGATTGTAGCCAAGTAATAGCAAACTGGGGAAGATATGTGTTCTTTATTAGAAAGTGTGTGAAGAAAGATTACAAAGTTACATCTTGTAAAATGGTTGAAAATCATAACAATATCATTATTATTACACCCCTAAAATAATGCTTAATTTAGATTTTAACATATTTAATATCATAAAAAGAAGGCCAACACAACTATATCCATATTGGATAAACGACGCTCTTGAAAGAGAAATCGGGTTGTGATGGTCACCATGTTCTTTCATGGAAAGAATATCCTTATCCAACTATCCTATTTCCGAGATTTTCATTCTTCAAATTTGACAATTGGCGATTTGAAGAGTAATAGGAGTTTCTTTTTTACGCATGATTAGGATCGACTTTCACTTGTTCTTCACATTATATTGATATTCATATGTATATATGTACCTTATACACACTATGTTATTCTTCCTTCCAAGAACAGAGTTTTGACTGATCTTTTCATTCTTTTTATAAAAGGTCAATGTTTTTTAGAAATTATATCACTTTACTGTTGTATGGTTTGGCAATAATAATAGACAAGAACTTTAAAACTTATATGTAACATCAATAAATTGATAAAAATCTTTAAAAATTTAAGGAATTACAGATCACATTTAGTTATGAGAGAAGATTTTATATAATTTTATATGAGGTAATAATTAGTTTTCAATAAAAGATTAATTACTGTATGAATTATCCTGTAAACTCTGTAAATTGCTATTCAGAAAGCCATGATTGAAAATGTCATAACAGGTGGCATGCAGTGAAATTGATAATTTCCCTCCAGTTTTTCAGCACTTATCGATTAAAAGCAGCTAGATATGAATCTCTCAAAATAATAAAAATAAAACTTTGGAAAAAACATCAATAAATAAATCAACTGATAAAAATGATTGATAAAAATATAATTACGTTTATATTTATAATTATAGGCTGGTTAAGGATATCGATTACCAAAGTAAAAATGAAGTGTTTTCTTATCATTTAATCAGATCATATATTAAGATTTCATAATTTTTACACATAAAAAAAATACATTTTAAAACAAAAAACAAAACACTGCTAATATTAACCCGGTATCTGAAATTTTCTTTGTAATTTTTTTTATGAAAGAAAGAAGTTTTGTTTTGGCTTCATGATGCCTTACATGTAAGATTTAATATATTCAAAACAGTTTGAACCTTGCATGAGTTGAGTATATGACTGAAACATCAAAACAAATACTATCGTATAAAGGAGGATCTTTCTGGAACTGGAAACATGCCATCATTAATTTGTTACATTTCTAAGGTTTAAACTACGGAAGCCCATCTAAGACCTATAAAAATGTTTTTGAAATTTAAAATTCGTTTTAACAAATTCGACAATTCGTTATATTGGATTCAAAAATATTTTTCGATAGGTCCTAAATGGGCTTCTGCATTAAACACAAAATTCTTCCAATTACCTAATTCAGGGTTAGATTACAAAGGAAAGAAGTGGTTGCAGCGGTCGGCAACTTTAATATTATCATAATATGAACATTGTGTAAAATTTGAAAAATAACGTTTCTTTAATTTTGTAAGCAAATGCATGTGATCTGTATTGAAGCAAATATTATTGGAGTTTGATGTCAAAAGCAATTATGCTAACTATTGAAAAATGCAGAATGATTTAAGGTCAGACGACATGTTCCTGAAATATATGTTTTGTATCTCTTTGTATGATATAGAAAAATATTGATATTTTCATTCTCTTCTGATTTCTATATTGTTTTCAAAATGTTTTTAAGTATAAGTACACCAAAAATTGTGTTATAGGACATTTTGAAGATTACCCATAAAGGTTATATAAGAAGTATGACCCTTTGGTATCTTGGTCAAATGCCTGGTAAGGTACCCTTATCTTTTGTAAGGAAACTTGTTTAAGTACTTATACTTCAATGACAAATTCTTCGGAAAAATTATATATTTTTGAAACTAAAATTTTAGAAGGTCGTGTGACGACAGTTCTATTGAACGATTCAATGTATATTTAACACAACTGATGGTTTAACAAAGTTAATTTTACAAAAGTTTTCTTCAATAGCAATACAGAAAAGTTATGATTACACTTTATGCACTTTCTATTACCCTTATACTAGTATAAATTCAAAACTATAATATATTTCAAAAGTTGTCTTCATGTTTGAATAATTTGTTGTGAATGACGCTTTTTGTGGAAGAAAAATACTGAAATATCGAGTGAAATCACATTCTTTCAACTGTTAATTCATCTAAAAAAAAATATGATCATATTTATCATGGTTTTGTCTTTCACCATCTTTTTGTAAATATTTTTTTGTGAAAAGACATGTATAGGCCTTTTTCAATACTCAAATTATTATTGCTTTCCTTTTTAATCCTATTAATGTTTAAAACTACTTGTTTTTAATACAATGGTTTATGATCCATTTTTTCTACTTTTTCTTTAACACAATATCCTAGTAATCTTTATTCTAGATAAAGAGTGATTCTATTTCTATGAATCGCATCATATAATATTTATATAGCTCATAAACACACCAATAAAGACTCAAAATAAATAATTTGTTTTACTTAAATTAACGGGAAACCTTGGCAGAACTTAGTTTGGTGTTTTCTCTTGCAAGATACAATGCATATCAACAAATTCATGTATGTGTATTTGATACAGCTCTATATTTACAGTATATTCATGGATGTCTTCCATCTTACAACCCCAAATAAGCGCCTCGAAGGACATGTGATTGAAAAACTATTGCCAGTTGGAATGCAAATGTGTATGAAAGAGTGTTCTGTTCGAACACTTTGTAAATCTCTGAATTTTTGTCGTAATCAGCTCACATGCGAGTTATCCTCTTCCAATGCGGAAATGCATTCTGACGATTTGATTGATGATTCGGAATTCTTATACGCTGAGAAAACGGACCTACCACGGGTAACTCGTTAGAAACGTATATGTTTCTTCTTTGATTAGATAAATGTAGAGAATTAACATGGGTATATATTTTTGTATATATTATATTTGTATGTCTCCTCTCTTTTCACAGAGATACTCTCAAGAATGCAATAAAACATGTTTCTTTGGAAGCAAATGCATCAATTTATCATCAGGTCCAGTTTGTCAAATATCAGGTAGGTTTTGTTACTAAAAATTACTCTGTCCCTGTCAATTATAACGATGGCATTTGGTCCTGAACTATTTTCAAATCCAAATTTAAATATTTTAAATTCTTTTTTATGATACAAATAAATTTTAAAGAGGCTAACATTAACTAGCTATAGTCTACAATAAATATTTGGATTTGTTCAGCGTTCTACTATAGGCAATTTATGGATAAACATGTCTCTGAACAGAGCACTGATAATTACAGAATAAATCTTCTTAATTCATTTAACTAAGTGGAAGAGTTTGATTCTAATTTGAATAAAATTTCTGAAACTTAATAGTACTCAAAATTATTCTGATCATAAATCTATAAAAGAAATTTCTATAAGAGTTTCATTCTACTTTTTATAAAAATTTATGGAACTAATGCCCTGTCCAAACGGAGAGTTTAATTCGAATTAAACGTAAAGTTACTGCGAATTAGCTTCGCTTAGCGTTCACACGGAGAATTTAATGCAAATTAGTTTAAATCGAATAAATTTACTGCGAATTAAATTACTTCGCATTAGCTCCGTGTGAACGCTATGCGAAGCTAATTCGAATTAAATTTTGACACATGCGTATACGTAAGGCCAGAATTAAGTCACAGGACACGTGGTGGTGGTTATATATAGGTATTTGTGCTATATTTGGTTCAAAAATTAAGGGAAAGTATGTTAATCACTAAAATCAATAAATACCTGTAGCCACTACATGATGTTTCAAAGGATGACTCTGCATACATCACGTGATTTACAAATGGCGTCATAATAGAATTACTGACGCCTGACTGTAAAAGAAAAAAATTAATTCGCATTAGTTTACTTCGCATTAGCTGTCGCGTGAACGCAATTTAATTCGCATTTATTTGATTCGCAGTAGTTTACTTCGCATTAATTTACTGCGAATTAAACTCGTCGTGTGAACAGGGCATTGATGTTACTAACAATATTCTGATCATAAACTGATAAAAACAATTAAGTTAAAGATGTGAGATCATATTTACATTTAGGCTTGAACAAAACTGACTTTAACCCCATACCCTACACCTCACCCATGTTTCTATGATTACATTGCCAAATAGTAAGAAATAATACAGATATATGAATTATTTTAAATGGGTAAATGAAGACACATATTTTTGGTCTGTGGTTATTATACACTACTTTGTTCCCAAACAGATTGTCCTGCTACTCATCCAGACAGCAACACCACCTCTGTTCAGGTGACCTCAACACGGGTTGGTACCGTCCTGAGGTACAACTGTACAGAATGGCCTCAGATTTCTCTGACCTCCACTTGTCTACCTAACGGGACATGGTCATCGGAATCAAACAAATGTATTATAAACCTACCAGGTATCGACATTTTATCTTGACTCTAATGATGAATGATACTCAATTTTTAATGCAAGTGTTGTGTCAAAAAAAATTCCCTACCCGACAACATCATACAACATTATGATGCCACAAATGCTTCAATGAGCTTTAATTCTGTTCATCTGCTTCAGCCTAAAATAATAAGAAATATTTATCTTTCATTACTTGTCCAAAAATTTCGTAGGCAAGCATGCTTATGTCGAAATGAAAAAAAATAAAATCAGGTAAAATAAAACAAACATTACCTTTTAATGTTAAATATAAGTAACTATAGTAAATGAACCTTTTAGTTTTTAATCTAAAGACATGACTTCTTTTCCTTACGGTAATTGGGAAAATGTGTTTTAATTTTGTGGGAACCTAAGTTATAGAACTTGTGTCTTGTCAATAAAATATGTTCAATTCAACGCTTTACCTGGGAAAAATAAACTCCGTATACGGGTGATAAAGATATATTCCTAGAAAAAAGAGGGAATTCGAAGTTGATGATAAAAAGTTTGATATTACTTTTATTATAGTTTTATTGATAGCTCACCATTAATTTGTTTTTCTAGAAAATGTCCAAATATGAAAAAAGGCGGACTTTAAAATTTCTTTTATTTGTGAAATGTTTTGTGATAAAACATTATCGCATGTGTTATATATCCCTAGTTTTATCAGCATCAATAGATTATTGATTAGAATTGATTTGAACAGACATGTCTTACAAAGCCCAAATTCTCACGTATAGAAAATAAAAAAATATAATCCATATCCAAAAATTAATAAAAATATTTCTTTTTCAGATTGTTTCAACAGTGAAATATCCTGCTGGTTTAAATTTAATTTCACCTACAGCAGTTATTGTGATTACTGTAAAGGAACGCAATATGTCAAGAAGACGAATTATACATCGGCTCCCTATGTTGGAATCATCCTTAATACATCCCAGACACCGTAAGTTTTTCTTATCTCCTTGTTATTTCTTTAAATTTTGTTTTGTTAGTTTAAAAAAAAAAAAAAAAAAAATATATATATATATATATATATATATATATATATATTATAGATATCATGGAAACCAATATACAGTAAAAGTATAATAAAGAGAATACAAGAAAAGATATGCATTGGCTAGAGTTATTGCCATTTGGAGATTAATTTTTTTTAATTTGGTATTTTTTCAATTCTTTAGTTGAAAAAGTATTTTAATTAAATCTATTCAAAAATTTCTTTCATTCCGTAAGTTCTTTGGTCGATACAATGACGTTGTCAGCAAATAAAATGTATCATTGTGTCAAATGTTGACTGACGTTTCTCATACTTATTGATAATCCAATATTTATACACTGAACTGACTTATTTTAGGAGATCCTTTTAGTTTTACCGGTATATTGAAATAATTCATGCAGTAATATAATCTTTTCTATAACAGTGCTTACAGATATAAAATTTTGTTGGGATCCAATCTTTCTGGCACATTTTATGACGTAGCAGAAGATAAGTATTACTTGGATTCTACTCTGAAGAAGCACTGTGATTTGGTTGGAGGGAGTCAGGATAAAACACCATCCTCTGCAGATCACCATTTCAAAATAGGCAACAAAAGTACATTCATACATTTTATTGAATGATTATCGAAACGTCAAAAGAAGATCTCTTTTTAAATATTTAAACTAAATCTTTAGCATTTTTAAAGCATCAGAAAACAACTAACAATTTTAATTTTGATTCCTATCGGGAATTATAAAAAGAAGTTTTTTTTTTACATTTTATGATTTAAGTAAAATTGTATCTCAGGTCTTATTTTGATTTTATGCTGTTTAACGCCCCTATCGAGAATTTTTTTTCACTCACATGGAGGCGTCACCACTTGCCGGTGAAGAGCTACACAGTTTGTCATATACTCGGTTCTCAGGCCAACTGAGCAGAGATGGATCTTCTTCGTGCCAGCACCTACTGTGAAGCGGGAACTCTGTTTATACGGTCTCATCCGATGGACAGGTCAACACGTCCCACAGTGGGATTTGAACCCGCGACGTAAGGATCAACTTCTTACTTCGTAACCCAGGTCCACACGCTCTAACCACTTCGCCACGCAGACGTTGATCTTAATTTGAAGATATAAATATGCCGTTTGTCTGTTTGTCTGCCTATAACTTTTGAATTTGTGAGGCTATGACCTTCAAGTATCTCTTTTGAACAGTGAATCAATGCCTTCATATTTGAAAGATTTACTCTTTGTGATAAGGCCATATTTTGGATATATTCTTTTAAATCTTTGACCATTATCTTGGTGGTTGGATTGCATTTGATAAACTTCAACTCCAATTAGGTGTCATACGTGGGCATCCGTGTTTCATAAACATGTTTTTCTTTATTTTTGACAGTTTTTTATCGGACCTCTTTCGACGATGACTTTACATTTGACTACGTTAGAGAAGAAAATCGATATTACACCAAATGCTATTATGAGTGCAGAGTTGTCCTTCCATTTTTATACGAGCCAGGTATTTTAATATTCAAAATGGACAAAACATTTGAAAAGAAAAATGAATCCTTTGTACATAAAAGACTAGATAACATACAATTTACAATTGCGTCTACTTACATGTAGTTAAGGCTACCTATCCTGTTTTGTTACCTCTACACTGAAATCACAATAGCTGACTTTAAAGTAAGGTGTCTGTCATTTGTCTTTCCACATGCAAACAATCTTTCTACAACACATCATCAAGAGAGCAGTATTTATTTACTTGGCACTAAAGTTAGTCGAAACAAGATACATTATTAATTTTAATTTTGATACAAATGATGCCATGTTCATGTAATTGCATAAAATTTGGGGAAATATATGCCGAACGATACTGTATAGTCTAATTTCAAGTAGACTACACTTAAACTTTTTATAGGCCTATTTTCAATGTCCTGGTTATAAAAAAAACAATCTCGGAAAGACTTTAAAAATGCTAACAATTTTAAATTTTTGGTCTGAATTTGATATAACTTTTCACAGAAGTAGAAAACACTGATATACATTATTTTGTTTATTAGTTCTGCTTTTGAAAAAAAAAAATATTTGTATGGGTACCGAAACATAAATTCTTTCAAAACGCTACTCTTATAAATGTTTCAAACTGTTTTCAATTTAATTTGGCTCACATGCAGTCGATAATATACATGTTTACTTTCACTTCACTTGATTTTGATTTTGATGAGTGATTTTGCAATTGCTACACAAATTCTGCAAAAAATACTTTTTAAAATACCCCCTCTCCTCTTGCAGTTTTAGTTTCATTTCAGTATTACTTGACACAAAGATACAATACATTGAGAAATATAATTGTTTTAGATAATGCCAGTAGAGCTATTTAATTACATGAAACAGTAATCAAATAAAAAAAAAAATAATTAAGAATATGCGAATGATTTTTCAACTCATACATACATACATATATATGGATTAATCGTTGATTTCACAGCTAGAAAAGAGATTTTCCGATATATTTGAGTGTATTTGTACGACTATAGCTCTAATCACAAATCTGAATATATTTCAATTTTTATTAAAAAAAAAAAAAACTCAAGCTTTGTTATCTTTTATACCTGTATCTTTAACATATTTATGTAAAATACATCGTAGGATAAGAAACAATTTTTACATACTTCACGAGATTATGCAATAGCTTATATTTTTGCATAATCTGATCGGGATGCAGATTTGATAACAAATGTATTTTTGAATTGAATATTTCTCAATTTATATTTTTAGAAAGTAAAAAATTGAAATTTTAATAGGAAAACTGAAAAAAGGAAAACAAAGTAAAATAATGCTTATTAAACTCCTTACTCTAAGGAAAAAGTAAAAATGATTGATCGTCTATTTGGAACAAATTTTTTTTCGACTATAGAAATATTTTTGAGAGGCATCTAAAGTGTTTAGTTCTAGTTAAAATTGCATTAGTTTACTAAGTTATAACACATGCATTTGTAATCAGTCGATGCTGATTCATAATTTAAATCACGAAATTCGAGAAAAGAGATAAGAGATTCGAACATCGAAAAGCAATTATTAAAATTGATATGTGCAAGCAATCAGAGGGCTATTCAAGATTCGATAAGACTACTTTTCTAAGTTGTCTGCTGATTTTATTTTTTCAGTACTTGTAAAGTATGAAATAAAACTGTTTGTTTAAATCACAAATCAATTTTTAACGAATATTCATTTACATTAGATTTGGTTCTTGATGCTTTATTTTATTATATTTACAACAATGTCATTATTAATTAAATAAAAATATCTTAGACTGCTATAGCACCACCAAATCCTGTTGGTATCGATATGATTTTGCTTCTGATGATACATGGAATGGTTGCCCCAGCGGTGAACGGTACATCAAAAAGACAAACCTCAGTTCAGCACCAATTGTAGGAATCGTCAAATGCAGTCACGAAAGGTTATATAAATGTATAAAGTGTTTAGATATCAAAGGATAAATTTCTGTGCTTTGCTAAAACTAATCCTTGTTGAAAACCTTGGGTAAGACTTCACAGCCATAATTCCCATTCATATTTCACTTAAGCTCCAGTTGAAAACAATGTAGCCCTTCAGGATAAGCATGTATAATAAATATTAATAAAATACAGAAAATATGCACCGATATTTTGTTCTGATAACATAAATTTGAATATCTTTCAATTTGTTTAAACATTAAGGCATTGCTTCTGATGAACATGACCTTAAAAGTCCATGTCCCCAATTTATTTTGTGATAGACAAATGTCTACACAGTAAAAAATGCCCCGCAGCTTTGTTACCTCCATAAAATACAATAACATTCTTTGTCCTTGAGCAATATTTCCATTCATCGCTTTTTTAATCAATTACTCTGCGTTTATGCGAGATGAAGAAATTACAGTTTCTGTAACACATTTTTTCCATAGTGTAATATAAAAGTAATACAAGGTACTTCAATTCGAATTTTAAACATTGAACACTCCACCCTCAAGCATCGTAGTAATTTCACTTTCAGAAGAAATTCACCGAAAAACAGTTTAGTCTATAAACATTTCTTTACGACTATTGATCTATAAATCCTATGTAGCATATTTTATATTTTCTATCCCTGTGGACAGCGTCAAACCTCTCCTCGTCGACAGAAAAAATAAGTCTCACACAATTTGTGATTGTGGGCTTCCGAATATTCAATATTTAGATCAACTGAATTACCTGGCTAGATATTACATAAAAAATACAATTAATTTCCAAATTTAATGTTCGTAGGCTAAGAAAACCAATTAATATTGAATTGAGGTGCTGGGTAAATGTATATGAACATTTTTTTAGATACCAATTGTATCTAGGAGCAAGTAGGACAGACTTATTTCTAAATGTTGGTGATAGTGATGGTACTGGTGAAAAACTATGTGAACTTGTAGGAGGACTGGGAACAAATGTGGTGACAGCGAATGACTATGACAGCGCACCAACAATGAAAGGTTTTACATGTATTGTTATTAATAAAAAAAATGAAATGTATATTTTTTATCATAAACGTAGCACAGTTATAGTAAACAACACCCATTCAGAGGTTAAAATTACCTTACTTCAATGTCCAGTCCGAAAAAAAACAGTATGACGAATATCGCAGTAAAATGTCATCCGTTAAAGTAATGGAATCTTATTAAAATATTTTTAAGGTATACTAATAATTAATGTAAGCAAAACAAATTAATTTACTCACTGTGTATTGTTATTTAAAGAATGACTGTCTAGTTAGTATAGTATGACAGGGCATCAACGATAGTGGGAAACAAGGGATAATTTTCATAACGGACGAAATTATGCTTAAATTATTCAATTTTTGGCATACTATACTAACTAGATAGTGATTTCTTATATTTCCATTTCTTTGTAAAATACTATTGTAGATTTAGACTTTAAAATTTAAACATAGATTAAAATTACACAAGGACTCCCATGCCATTTCAATGGTCCTTGCCCACTGACGGCAAACACAAATTCAGCTGCACTAGATTTACATGCGTATTTTGCCTCCTTTGTGTGTGAAACAGAAATAGATGCACACGAGATTTCCATTCATATTAGGCCTCCTTAGCTTCTGACCTACTGACCTGCCTAATTTATATTCCAGTAAAATTATTGAGAAATCAACTCCGCTAATTTTCAAAGAGTTATCAAAGAGAAAGAAACATTAAGAAATGCTTATAAACAAAATGAATATGTCATTTATACTTACTGTTTCCAACTATTAAATAAATTTGTTTAGGATACTGTTTATCGGAACTGGAACAAGAATTTAACATCAGTAGTATTGGTCGTAATACTGGATGTAGAAGTAACTCCTGGTATGAATGTGGTGTAAGCCTCCCAGCAGGTTAGAACAAATACACGTGTTTATATTTTAACATGTGAAACAAACACTTGGAATATGAGCACAAGCATAATTTGTAAACAAACTATAGGTACGTTTTCGAGTAATTTGAAATAGTAATCCGTTAAATTTATCATACTGTTAGCTAAACGTGATGATTGTCACATACTTAATCTCTATGGAATCATTCAGACATGCATTTATTGAACTCGTTGAACATTGCAAATCCGAGCCAATTCCTTAACAGAAATATTTTTGATGGGAAATCCGTAATAATATTTAAAACGTATTAGCATTTAGCATTTAAAATTCAGCAGCTCTATTTAGCAATGTTGGCAGCCGAGTCCGCTAATTAAAGTATAGCGCTAAATGTATTGTATATTAACTTTTATAACAAGCAACTTCTGACGGCGTTAAATCACATTTACGCAAACTTGTAAAAATTTAATTTCCGCCAAATATCGCGCACGCTAAATGTAATACATTTACAGTAATTGTATTTTTATAGGTTGGTACAGGTACAACATTAGTTACATTGCAGCCCCAAATTACGGCATGAACGTGTATTCTTGTTCTGGAGATACTTACGTTCGAAATACCACAACTAATTCCTTACCTTTTGTGGCAGCAGTAGTTTGCAAAGGTTATGAAAATATGAGGTAAGGTGCATTAAAACTTAGTACTTTAAGAAGGAGATGTTATTACTTTAAAAATAAAATACATCAAAAAGAAGGAATGACTTGTCTTTCGATATTTACTTACCGAATTCACCATATTCTTATACCAAAATTTCCAGGTATCGAATTCACTTTTTTGTGAAGTGCCGAATTCTCCAGGCACAGAAATTGTACCCAAGTACATGACTTTATATAAGCGAGTTCTGTGTCTTTGAAAGAAACTGAAAATGGTTCAGTCCTCCTTCATGAATTATCTTTATAACCAATATCATTCAATTTCAAAACCGGTTACTGTAGCCTAGTGGAAGAGCGTTCGCTTTGTGATGGGGAGGCCTGGGTTCATTTCTCGTTCGCGGCGCTGCGTCATACCAAAGACGTAAACAAAGGTAGTGACTGTTCCTTCGCCAAGCGCTCGGCACTAGAAGTGAAAGTCATATGTATATTGGATATGACCTTAAAATTGTAGGTCCCTTGTCACGGTGGGCAGTGACAAGATAAAGAACCCTCACTGTTCAATGGCCCTGAGTCCCGATTACAGGTCTAATTTGAAGCCCTTTACCGACATCTCCATATGAGTGAAAAATACTTGAGAGGGACATTAAACAGTATACAATCAATCAATAAATCAATTTCAAAGTTCATTGATACATTATAGATTGAGAGTAGAGCAAATACACCCCTTGAGAACATCAATGATAAAATCAGGTGCCATGGATGTCTAATCATTCCCTGTTTACCGGTAATATCCATCATGTGCCTTTTGTTATGTTCTGGTAACGGAAAAGTCCACAGACAGTTGATGACATATGTATCAATGTAAAATTTAAAGCCTTACTATTTGAATATAACACATTAGTTCATATCTTACTCAATGAAAGATAGGAACTAGAGCACGGGTATCTGTTTACCCGGGGTCTCCCTACTTGTCTGCCTGTCCGTCTCGAGAAGTGTTAGATGTAAAGATCTCATATTTTGCTCGTGACACGATGGCTTTTGTATTTTACGATGTCTCAAGAAAGTGACCTTGCTTCCTTTTTAAAAAAAGTTTACATTGCCAATATACAACTTATTTTAGACATTTAAGATTTTAATCTATTAGAATAGCATGTGCACTCTTTGTAATAAAATAACTTTAAAAATATAATTCTTACAGCTTTCTTGACCTTTCACCTACATTCCAAGATATGCTGAAGAGCGTTTAATTTAACTTATGCCTATCAGAGATTCAGAAAGTCGTGTATTTGATCATATGTCTACATGCATGAGCTCATTCCTATGTGCTTTGACACTATGTAATATATTACAGTAACCACAAAAATAAAATGAAATTTATTAAAATAAGACTTAGTACAAAGTATTTTGAATATACATCGGGATTGGTATTAAATAGATAGTATAGACTAACATTTAATCTGATATTTGAATTACATATATAATACAATGACATGTACATTATCAATAAATAAAACTTGGAACACAAAGATGTATTTTAATTATCTTGAAACAGGAATCAATGAACTCAAAAACTATTAAACACACAATACCTTTACCAGTGTATAACAAAACCAATATAAAAATGCTAACAGAATTCAATCGGAGTATTCAGTTGTCTACATGTACTAGTTGACGGTGAACTGACCGTCAATTGACCATTGGTTGAATTTTTGCCATGCAAATGAGGGAGCGTTCGACTCATTTGGATAGAGTGGACAACTGTTGCTCCCATATATCCTTTGCAGTACAAATTGACCGCTAGTTGAATTCTCCACTATTTCGTTTGCAGTTGACCGCTAGTTGAATACTCCTCTATTTCCTTTGCGGTAAACGGCTAGTTAAATACGCATCTATTTCCATTGCTGTTGACTGCTATTTGAATACTCCTCTACTTCCTTTGCAATTAACTGCTAGTTGAATACTTCACTAATTCCTTTGCAGTTGACCGCTAGTTGAATACTACATTAGTCAGTGCACGTAGGTTGCATGCATTATTTGATCAAATAGAGGGGGATTTGAAATCTAAGACATGCATTTAATGAAGAGAAAGTGTTTCGTTCTATCTTTAATTATCACTTAAAGTAAAGCACTAAAAGTGCCTCCTAGATACAAAAATGACATACATTGTCATATTTTTGTCAACGAAATACTGTTATATTTTTACCAGATATACCGAATAAATCGATTCAAAACCAAAATTAAATAAAAAAAAACTTTTTATTCAGATAATTATTATTAAAGTTCTCTTTTTCTTCCTTGGTAAACAATTAAGAATCGTACCATTACTTGTCATAAAGCATTATGTAGGTTACTTGTCGAATGTATCATTTTGGCTATATAAACTTTTTAACCATAGGTTATCTTAGGTCTAATTTCAAATATTATCTCAAGAATAATCAACATTTTACCACTTACTTTTCTATTAAACAAAGAATAGAGAATACATTTAAGTATTTAAATTTTCTTTTTTTTTTCTCTATCAGATATAAACTCTATGGAGGTTCGAATCTCACAGATAGCTTTACGGAGATTTATCGCCATACGGACTGTGGAAATGATTGTGATCTTGTTTACGGCTATCCATATGATGAAGTGCAAAATTGTCCATCTTCAACCTTCACAACCTCCTGTACATCGATTAATGATTGCAGTAGCGTTCCTGGTAAGTAAAGAACATCACTGGTTGTTATACAACATTGAGTTTGTAAGTTGTTTCTTTATAAAAATTTTTATGTTTTCGAGGACAGTTGAATTGAAACTTACTGACGGGCAAAAACAAATTAGAGGGTTCATCAGATGACATCATAATTGAGGAGGACAACCATAAACGACATGTAACTTAATTCTCACAGGGTTCTAAATCATTTCAAATTTAACTTTGGCACAAAATAAGTGCGAATTATTGATATACGTGCTAATTCGCGAATAAGTTCGAAATGAATTAATATTAAGTTCAAATATAAATAGCATGAATTATTTGGCAAAATGATCGATAAAGTAGATATTAACAATAATAAATAAACATCGATTGTGAAATAATGTAAAATAAAATTAAAAAATTTCCAACATACATACTGTGAAAAGACCCCCCACCCAAACACACATTCATACTAAATAGATAGATATTTGCTTATAGAATCTGAAAAAAAGTTATACGTAAAACATGTAACAGGTCTTCATTCAAAAAAAGAAGGATATGGAGATAACGAACAGTATTCAATCTCAAAGTTCATAAAACAATACAAAATAAGAGCAGAGCAAGCACGGACCTCCGAAACATCAGAGGTGGGATCAGGTGTCATGGAAGAGTAAGCATCCCCTGCTAACCGGTCACAACCACTGTGTGATCCTTGTCATGATCAGGAGATAACGAAAAAATCCGTCGTCAATTCAGTAAAATCCATATGTGGTGGAACAAGAAATTGTTTACAAAAGGTAAATATACACGTACAGAGATAATTAAAAGTCAGTAGAGATTCTGATAGGTCACATAAGACTTACGATGTTTTGTGTAATTGAAATATTAGAGACATTCTTAACTGTAGAACTACTAAAGAATGAACTACATGTACATGTAATTGATAATGAAAAGTTCCTTTTTAATTATCGTGTGAAAAAAATCTTCAAATGTCCAAAGAGGTCTAGAAGATAATTAATAGTGCAAGTCTAACAGTGAGCCATAATTAAAGTAATTTAAAATTAAAACATTTTAGCATTATAAACTAAAAACTGCACATAATTATGAGGTTTGGAGGTTTATTTGATCAACAAAATTTATCTATAATAAACTTAGTTGTAAATATACCGATTCTGCGCTGTGTAATGCGGGTGACGTCACAATATCCAACATTATGGACCAATCCGAAAAGCCATATCACGTATCGGACCGGCGGGACCGAAAATCAATATCAAACCGTAAGTACCGTTTGTGTAAAGTTTAAAAGTTAATTAACTTGATTTTATTTAAATGTTCATTCAAAATAATTCTATAATGACATTTGTGGTCTTATTTTTTTTTTCGGTTACCTAAAATCGGCTCTTTTAGATTTTAAAGGAAAACGTCTCTAACCAGCACAAACATTCCTAAAAAACCATATGTGAACTCGCATGTTAAGTATTTTAAATATATGATAAATAGAATATTACATACTAAAATCCATATCATATGTCACATCAGTCCTCGTACCTTCGGTCCTCGTGCTGATAATGGGCCACTCGATCTGATATGACGTATAATATGGATGTTAGTCAGAATTATTCTCTATATATTTATCGTACTGATAAAGAGGATTTTACTGTGTCGCTAACATTTTAAATGTGGCGGAACTATGGCGCTGTTTTTTTTAACTGTTGCGCAAAGGAATTTAACTGTGGCGGGGCCGCCACGTTACATGGCCCAATGAGAACCCTGACCCTAAGCAAAATTAACTTCTTTAACATCTGCGTTGGAAAATTATCCCTGTTTGATTTTAATTTCAAGAAAGATTCATTGTTATCTTTTTTCTTGTCTATTGAAAGTGAAATATAAAATATACCCTTATGTACATAAACTTCCCCGATCAAAATAATAAACAACATGTTACTTCTTACGTCTTTTTAGCCTTTTCGTGTATATGAAAAGAAAATGTCAAAATGTATATCTTGATACATTGCACGACTAACCGGTTAATCGGTCGGAACGTTTTGCAGTTAACCGATTAGCAATTCTGCAATTGATTGCCATCCCTAATTATAATCGAGTTTTGCTGAAGCATCTAATATCTATCCCCTAACTTCTTTTCTCTAGAGTCGAAAAATAAGGAGTTTATCCTTACGTCGCGGGTTCGAATCCCACTTTGGGATTTGGAGATCGGTCCTTCGGATGAGACATATAAACCGAGGTCCCGTGTCGCAGTAGGCACTTTCACGAAAATGACCCTGCCTGTTCAATGCCCATGAGTGTCGAGTATAGGACGACATTTGCAGCTCTCCACCGGCGAGTTGTAGCGTCTTCATACGAGTGAAAAAGTGTCGTTAGAGACGTTACAAAATATACAATCAACCAATTAACCTCATTTGTTTTAGTCCACTCTTCATTGCACAGAAATCTGGAATAACATTTTTGTATTGCATAATGATTTTTTTAATTATATCTATTGAATATACATTTTGAGTACACTGTATATTTAAAAATCACATATTTTGAGGGAAACAAATTCATTCATGGGAATTTTTTTTCATGGTTGAAGAATTGTTTAGTAGTTATATATGGGAAAATTGCATTCCGTGGAGGACATAAATTCGTGGGGCTCTTCACACCTTGAAAAGCACTATTCACAGTATATTTTTCTTTATACATGTTATACAAAGGTGCAGATATATCTTAAAAGTAAAAAAAGTTAATTCAAAGGTTTTGTTATGTATCGCATGCTTTAAATCATTGATAATGAAATGTTAGAAGCATGATATTAAAGGCGAACGACTATGTATTTGGGTGTTCCTTTAAATGTCTTCCGTTATATGGATTCATTTTAAAAATAATACAAAAACAAAAGGTTTAGACTATTTCTGCACGACACAAATGTAAAGAAATTGTACGGTACATGCATTGAAATTATATTTGTAATCTCCAACGTACTTCTCTTTATTCTTGCTGTTATTTTGCTTAATTTATTATTTACTTTGTTCAAATGTTTAACACGAATAAAGTCTGGGACTCTCAGATATCGTCCGGTTTACTTCTACAGCTGTACATGTTATATATAAAGGTTAACTACCAATGCCAGCATGTTTTGTCAAACAATAATTTACACTTTGCTTTCTTGTTTATAGGTTATTATCGATATAATGGAAGTGGAGAATTCAGTTATGGATGCTTCAATGCCAGCTTGTACAGATGGTATTATTACAAAGAATACATGGAATGTGGAATCCAAGTTCCTTAATCATTTAGAATTGATAAATTACCAAACATTGCTTGTACCTGTAAATGATTTTATTTTCAAAATACGATTTTATGTTTAAATAAAAGCAAGTTTTATTTTAGCCGGACTTTGCCGAAATTAACGTCCTTGCTGTGGGGGTGATGATGGCTTTTTATAGCTCTACAAAAAGTAAACAAAAAACCAAACAGCGCCAAAGCAGATGCTTCCGATAAACAAACTAGTTATAATGAGAGGCGATACTTAAACAATGATTTTTAACATCTCAGTCTTTGGAAATGTTAATCAATATTTTTGTTTGAGATTTAAATTGAAAAACAAATAAGATACTTATCCTATTAGAATATAACCACGATAAAGCAATTTGTGCACATACGCTGCTGAATGCATTTGTTCGCAAATTATTTTCAAAAGCTTTTCGAAAGGATACTGTAGGTCTATTGAACTGGTAAAGAATTTCATTCTTTTCCGTCGTTGCTATGCGACTGCTTCAGTCTAAAAATGCTTCGGACATCTGTTTTAATAAAAAAAGGGTATCATTAACTCATTGAAAAGCGTTTTTACTTCTGAACATGAAACATTATTTATTAAACAACCCTCGTAGATAAGTAAATTGAAATTTGAAGAATTAATTTGCGGTATGCATGTCACTTGACAATGAACATTTTAGTGCACTTATGAACCATATCTTATATTATATATTATAGCTTTTGCACCTTTTATTTTTTGAAATATATACATATTACTAATTAATGTACAACAAGTACCAATATTTTGGTCTGGGCGAATATAGTGAACTGAACTGAACAAGTATCTAATAGAATTGGCGATTAAAGTATAGCACTGTTAAGCAGCAAAAATTAATTTACTTGTATGTAACCAGTTCGTCATGTATTAAAAGCAGTCTTAATCTTGTTTATCATAAAATCAAGTTTTTAAGGAAAGACCTGAATACCGAATGTCCTGTACTGAATGTTTTAAAAGATTTTAATTTTGAAATATTTACTATATGATTTATGTATATGTAGATATTCCCAAGATGAGTTTGAATAATAATGATTACAATATGTATGTAAATATTCTCAAGATTATTATTTCGGTTGAAATGCTTATTTACACAAATAAAGTTAAAATTTGAAAGCGTTTAAAGAAAAGGGTTGGAAAACAACAGTTAACTTCGAAAATTCTTCATGCAACAAAAATAATTGTCTTCTTTTTAATAAATAATTTCGAACAATTTGTTTCTATTGTTGTTCAACATATCGTGTATGTAAAATATTAAAATGTTTTTGTTAATATGTACATGTATAATTATATCAATTATTTATACCCACTTGAGAATCAATTTATCATTAAAAATATTAATGCTTACAAATTCAGGTCAAATTCTGAACGATAGGTCATTAGTATGTTTTGTGAAGATATCTCATAGGTGCTCCCAGAGCGCTTTACCTTATATTGAGACTGAGCACACATTTTCCAATAAAATGTGTCTCAATATGAGTAAATTGTACCATAGGACTGGCGGTAAATTCAGATTTTACTTTGATGTTGCTGTGGTGTATTTGCCAGAAGAACCACAGTTTTTAAGTCACGCCCACGATTTGGCATCAAGCCATAATGTAACAAGACCTTGATTGATGAATGAATGATGTTAATTTCAAAACCTTGGCAATAGCTGATAAATGAGTTTAGTCAACATTGTAAACATCAAGAATACTAACATTAATTTGTCGACATTCGCTTCGTATTTTACTAAGCGTACATGTATCCTGTTATACGTTCTATCTCGAATTGTCTTAATTCTTATTCTTGTCTCAAAATAGTAATTTCACATTAAACATGTTAAAGGTCCCCATTTTACTTGACAAAGGCGTCGGAACCGCCCCCCCCACTTCTTTGCAAAGATAGACATAATATATAGACATTTAAAATTGGGGTTTACCTTTTCTTGTTGGTTTAGCCCCCCCCCCCCCCCCCGCATTTCAATTTACTTCCAACACCTATGCTTGCAGTACTATTTAAACTTTCTTTAAAATGTCATGAATCGTATAGCGCTTTTTGTACATTGATCGCTATAAATGAAAAGTTCAATCGGCGATGTTTTCAATCGGCGATGTTTTCCATTGACCCCCCACCCACCCCCACCCCCAAAAAAAGTTAAAATCGATCTTCGAAAGGAATAACAGCCTGAAATAAAATAGTTTACGACGCTACCTCTGTTCTTGACAAAAATCAAGCCTTCTGTCTAAGCTGCAACATCTTCACATGTATCAAATAATGACAAATCATTCCGATTTTTTTTTTGATCGACGATACCCCAGACTCAGCATTCAAAATGCAATCCGTTCAGTTGGAGAAAGGTATTTATGCAGACTCTGGACCATGGCTTGACAGGATGAAGTGGGCGGTGCTAACTGTCAAACAGCTTTTCTCTCATTGGTCCTCTGGTACAAGTAACTTACACAATAGATATTAATTGGTTAATGGTAAATACATTCACAGTTTTTAATTCACTCGGGGCTCCGCCCCTCGTGAATTAAAAACTGTGAGTGTATTTACCATTAACCAATTAATATCTATAGTGAAAATATAACAAATTCTCGAGATAGACGTTAAACAACCCACAATCAAACATTCCAATAAAAATATCTTATTAAAAATACGTTTTTTTAGATTTAAACAATATTTTATTATGCGTAAACATAACAGGATTGGACAGCAGGCACTGCCTATCTAAGCACTCTCCGTAAAAATCTAAAAATACAATCAAGCTCTCTCGCAAGGGTGCTGCAGATTAAAATCATTTGTGTAAATTTAAATTTAAAAAGCTATCAGGATATCCAATAGTCTCTATCTACATCACATTATACCTTGTTTAGAAATAGCTGTTTAAGTATTCGCTATAAAACTTTCTGTACAGAATGAAGGGTCCATTATATGTATTCAAGTCAACATGGCATGAGTATATCATGGTTTTCTCTGCTCTGGCCATTGCCATTTTGGTCAAATTTTAATATGCTACAACAAAAAAGGGCACAATTAAGATTGGACCAATGAAATAAGACAATTTATTATGGAGTAAATTTGTTAATTGCTCTAGACAAAATCATGGAAAGGTGAGATGCAAAACCTAATTTAAATTTGGTGAAGAATTAGTCAACATTCAATGTCCATTTTCCGATGTAAAGGTTTATGTGTAAAAGATCTCCCCTCCCCCACCCCCTTCCCCCTAAAAAAAGTTACAAACGTCTACGAACTTTAAGAATGACTATAAGAATGACCCTAAAGGCTTTAATATTTCTTAAAAATGAAAGAGGTGTAAAAAATTAAAATTCACGCTTTCTGAATCTTTGGAATTCCATGCATAATGATCATACAAATCAATCCTTTTTTCTCACGACCTTCTCAATGCTATTTGTGACGTCAGAAACCTATGCATTTTACTCTTATTTTCTTTAAATGTTGTAGAAGACACCAATTTTTCAATGAAATTTTCTTTCGGTAAATATAAACCTCAGGCATCGCCCATAAACATCTAGTGATATTTGATTTTTCAAAGAATTTCACACAGCATCTCCTAAAATTAAAGTGAGCAACTTCCGTACACACTTTTTTCTCTTTTAAAGCCATATATGGCGTAACTGATCAAAAAAATATATTTTTGAAAAATACAAAATTAAGTAAAGAAATATAGTTACTACATATAAATTAATGTTTATAAAAAATTTTCATACAATTCTGAACGCGGAGAACACCTGGTTTTATCTAATAATACGATTTTATCTTCTCTGTATTGTGTTATTTAAATCCTTTGTATTTTCTTCCGAGTCGGAGAAAATTCCGAGAACCTGAATTAAATTGTGATATCTTTAAAACGCAATTGACTTAGATTTTGTAATTTACGGAAAAGTTCTATCTTTATATAAAGTAATGATACAATTAATAAGTTCTTATAATTTTAGTCTAATAATTTTCATTGTACATACGCCATATATGGCTTTAAAGAGAGAAATGCATCAAATTAATGACTTCATATTTTCAGAATGAAACTTCTTTCATGCCATATTATTCTATTATTTAATATAATTATATATTTTAAACTAATATTTTAATCAATTTTAAACTTATTGACAATTTATTTTTTAGGACACAATAAAGCTAAAACCATACCTTCCTCATTGTGATTTCACAGGATACTGAACTGATAATGTTTATAAAATACCGGACTGAAAGCTTTTTCCTCTGAAATTATTTTTTTTTCATATTAATGAAAAATGAAATAAGAAGAAAACGATGAGTAGTCAAGCTCAAAAGTCCATAATTGAAATGATTTTAGATTCAAATAGTTTTCACGGAAAATAATAAAATCTGACCTGATACCGAGGAAGACACTGGAGAGAAACTTTACATCAATTCTCTGTACGGACCAAAATCTTACTGTAGGGCTGTGGCACACACCATGGGCGATTTCAATGAAACTTTTTCAGGTGATTAATCCCCATATGGTATGACATAATCAACATTCAAAATTAAGGTTACCACCTTGGTTGCCATGGTAACGGACAAAAATAGATTTTGGCCCTATTTACGCCGATTTCACACATAAAAATGCTGTATAATTCATTTCATATGGTATAAGCATCTTTATTTTTATAAGATAAATAATACATTATATGAACAGAACATTCGGAGCAATATCTTACACAAATAAAAAAAATTCTAAATGTCACTGCAAATTCTTCAATTGGTGGCTCAAAGATGACCAAATTCTAACATTTCGAAAATGGCCATTTTTACCCTATTTTTCAAGAGGTCCATCAAGGATTGCAGGCACTATGAGAAAAAATCAACTAAAATTTTAAAAACACTATAATAATGTTATTCAACTTTTCTGAAAAGTAGAGTGGGTATTTTATTCGTTTAAAATATTTTTAACTTTGAAAATTGGCATTTTGCCAAATAATTTTTTTTCTTTTTTAAAGTTTTACCAGACACTAGTT